ACAGTATTTTAGATTCTCTAATGTAACATTTATATGGAAACAAACTGTATGCATTATGGTAACTAGCAAATGAAACATGTACAAGTGATATTTATTTATCTTATATATATTTTTTTATAAGTTTCGAATTTTTATTTAATTAAAAATTATTTATTTTGTTTTTTTTATTTTCTTTATTAAATACAAAAAATTAATTTAGAAAATTCAAATAATAAATGAATCGATATTTATTAATTTTTATTTTCGTATAATTTAGACTATTTTATTAATATAATATATATTACAAATAAATTCTATTAGTTTATTATACATCTTTACAAGACCGCTTTAATATAAGACTAGTTTAGCCATAGTTTTTATTATTCTCCCTCTTTGACCATCTACTTTTGACCATTAATGACCGGACTAGTTATTTGAGCTCTTTGAATTTTTTCCTAAATAAAGATCTATAACAAAAATAATATATTATAAATAACATTAGTATTTCTACCATGTAAAGTGAGAAAAGAAACACGACCACCTGAATTAAAACTACAATAAATTCTATGATAGGAAATTAGTAGGAGACCCGACCACTTAATGCAATTACATACATTTTATGTTATGCATAGTAGGAAAGCGTACATAGTTTATCTTACATAATACAGACTACTTTAAGCCAAGAAGCCCTATATGTAACTTCACCAAAGATCACACATATTACCTCATAACAAGAAACCCTATATGTGAAGCTTCAACGAATGATTGCGTCTAAAATGCAATCTTAACCCTATCTTTTACGAAACTTTCTTTAGTTATCATCGTTGTCGTTAGAAAAGCGTTGTAAGGTCGATAAAATATGTACAAAGTGTAAACAAGTTATGATATCTTAATAAAGTTCGTTTCACTTTTTTTGTTGCTTGTACTAAAATATACAAAGTGTTAGAAGAGAGTTAAAAAAATTACATATATTTATTTGATTGAGCGAATATTTTTATTGGTCATGAATGCTGTTTTTAGAAATATTACTAATACGAAATTATCAAATATAGATAAAACTGGAGAAAATATACAAACTTTATTATATATTCTTAATCATTTTTTTTTAAAAAAATATCTTCAAATTGTGCTTAGCAATTGTTTTTTAAAAAAACTTGGAACAGATTTTGTACTTTATCATTCTTTAATAAAAATTAAGAATTTAATGTAAAAATTCGAAATTCGTCAGAACTTGTTATGATTATAACATAACCGGGGGTTCAATCACTTCCAAATTTTGAATTACAATTCGCCGATCATCCGGTATCATGTAATTTTTTACAATTAACAACTTCTCTCCTTTTTTTTACTGAAACTTTTCCGCAACCTTTTATTTTTTATTCTTTTTACTAAAAAAATAATATTATAGTCAGTTGGTCCCGGTCAAAAATGCTTAAAATACAAAAAAAAGACTAAGCTTTATTGAATGTTGTACTATTTGTTGCTTATATTCCAGATATCAAACCATGTTCTAAGAGAACTTCCACAAGTGATGCTTTGGCGAAGTTTCGGCGTAAAAGGTTAATCCCGCGTTCTTACAAGGTTATGATTACATTCCAAAAACTCCCAGATTCCAACATGTCCTATAGATTTTTGCAAATAAACCGTGGTGGTAACGGGTAACAGTTGTTAAGGCATGACACTGGAGAAATCTAAGGAAAGGTATTATCATGTAAGTATACTTACTTAGTTATCGTCGTCTTGTCATTTTAGCAGCAGGGTGGTCCGAATATTGTTA